GGAAACACGACACAAGAAACACGTCCCCTTTCTTCCTAATGATGGGATACGAACCAAGGGGGATTCCCCACGTCCTAGCCGTATCAGACGTCCCCGCAGCAGAAGAAAGACTCAGGAACCTCCAAAAGACTCGTGAAGAAGCAATCACTTGTCATAATATAGCCATGCAACGAATGGCAGAAAGATCTCGCACAAAGAAGTACCAACCGTGGAAGATAGGAGATAAGGTATGGTTGAACGCCACCAATCTCCTCACTTCCCTACCATCCAGAAAACTTGCGCCCAAAAGGCACGGGCCATTCACGATTACAGCAGTCTTGTCCCCCATCATGTTCACCCTGAAACTCCCCAAACAATGGAAAGTTCACCCCACGTTCCACACTTCTGAACTATCATCCTATCGCGAAACAGAGATACACGGACCGAACTATACCGAACCGCCACCCGATATAGTCAATGGCGAAGAAGAATATGAAGTCGAAGCTATTCTTAGCCACAAGGGAGTGGGAAAACGAAGACGCTATCTCGTATCTTGGACCGGTTATTCTTCCGGGAGCAATGAATGGATACCCGAAGAGAATTTGCGGAGTTCAAAAGATATCCTTGCAGCGTATAAAGGGAGACACAAGTTGGACTAAACGAATCATTCCCTCAAACGAACAAACATTTCTTCAGTATCATGACTCCTCCCCAGACACCATCGCCTACTGAATCAAACATCTCCCACGTCTCTCTCAGAGACACATCCTATAAGCAAAACATCATCAACCTTGACGACGACGCCATCGTTGAGACCACTCTATTATCACTTGCCCACGCAGAAGAACTTGAAAGACAACTCGCCAAAGAACCCACAGTCGTAGCAGCCCCCATATTATCCCAGATCCATGTCATACGCACCACCACCGCCCTCAAACTCAGACTCAAGGAAGTCGAAAACGATGCCCTCAGACTTGCATGTCAACACATCCAGAGACGCATTCGCAGTCTTGAGATTCAGCTTCTTCCTGCTTCTTTTAGCACTGTCTGCAAAACAGTTATATGAACTGTTGCCGAATGGAACACGACCGAGGTCGGTCGCCTGCCAAGCGCTTTTGCTAGCGCTCCCCCCAGCAGCGTACCTGCTACAGATTTACCTAGAGAAGAAGCTCAGCCAGCTGCACAGCCAGCACAAGCTGAAAAAGTATTACCCATCCCCGAGCCCGCCACCATCTACAAACGAAAGACCCGTAAGGGAACTATCGTACATGGAGTGATGAAGACCAGAGCTTCTAAAGGAAAGAAGCGCGAGGTCATCGACCTCACCGAATCCCCCGACGTCATTACAGTAAAACAACTGCAGTTCTCCCCAGATAATTTCGTATGTCGCGTCTGCAAGAAACTCGGGCATCGCCACAAAAACTGCCCCGAATACTACTGCCGTATATGCCAGGCTCATGCGCCTGGTCACTTCTCTATCTACTGCCCCTATGCTCCAAAGAAGGAGCAATTCCCGTTGGTTTACTCCAACGACGGCTTTTACGAGGCTTTAGCAGTATGGGAAGCGAGAAAGGATGAAGAATTCCTAGTGGAGTTAGACAGAGCGAATGCTGAGTACAACGCACGCCATCAAGACGAGGAATTAGAATTCCAGAACGCTGACGCAGATGTCGTCTACTACGCTCATATGGATGAGTACATCAACCAGGACGATTAATGTCGAAGTCGGTGACTTTGACCATAATAACGGGGTAATGTTACGATAACATTCACTTCTAGCATTTCTTTTCTCATTACGTACTAAATGGGCTGTCCGTACCTTTCTCTTATCCAAGCGGGCTGTCCGCCCTATCTCTTATCTCTTTCCAAGCGGGCCGTCTGCCCTATCTTTCTTATCATGATAACACATTCACAAGCTCCGCTTGAACATTACCTATATAGACTGTACTATGCACGATTGTATTCCTTACTTTAATCTACTGGGTTTTACCTGGAACATTCCTTCAACAAGGTCTCCAACCTTGTTGTCTAAGAACTACGATTCTAAGAGAGTCAGCGACACTCGTCTTAGCCTAGATCCTTGATCCTCTCATTCGAGAGAAGACCCTCGTCTATCAGGCCCATTGCCGACTGTCCATCCGGACTTTGATAGCACAACCGATCCCAGTTGTAACATTAAATACATCAAAATTAGTGGTCTATTTAAACCTTTTTTACAAAATTTTCAACATTTTTCTTGCTGAAAAAGTCTTTCATGCTTCCAGTGCAAGTATGTACCACACTACAATCCAAAAAATGGAGTTATCTCATACTATTATTGGTAGGATGCCCCGGTGTAACGAGACAACAATTGCCGGACACTACACGAAGTAAGTAATCAGCAATATAAAATGTTGTGGTCTTGCACAGCCTAGTCTGCTATACTTGTAGACAAGTGCATTCGACCCGAGGGGTTAGCTATCTGGTATTAGTCTGTAAGTAGTGGAATGTCAAGTGATCAAAAGTCCAAGCACAGGAAACAAAGTCCGAAGGTATAATCACGAGTCCGACACCAAAGTGTTGGGTCCGATGTTTTCGGGTTAGCGGACTAGCGGGTTTCGGGTGCAGATTCAGCAGATTATGGAGAATGGCGATAGTGAGTGTTGGGAAAGCGAGCAGTATGCAGAATATTGATAATGACAGGTGTTTTCAGATAGAAAGAGCAGTAATATTCGCAATAGCAACTAAGAACTACAAAATATTGGGTTTGACCACAAAGCATCGGGGAATGGCTCCCCACTACTTGGATGATGGATAATGCTCGAGGTCAGTCCAATATATATGTAAGTATGTAGAAATGCAGAACCCGTAGGCGAACATAGTGGCAGAATATTTTGGATCCGAAGTACATGTAAATAAACATGAGGCGCTGTGGACTATGGGAAAACATGTAATAGCGCTGGCTACGATGTGAGTAATATGCGAGATAATAAACTACGCACCTAGTGTGGCTAGCAAGACAAGACGGGACACAGATAGGACAAGTGTGCAGGAAAATATTGGGTCCAATGCGGCCGAAACGTTGGGTCTGCTAGTCAAAGTGTCGGGTCCGCTGTCAAAGTGTCGGATTGAGTAGGAAGTGATTATCGTGCGACAGGCATTGGACATAAATTGTGAATCAGCTGAATACGAGCCTAGCGTGAGCTCGAGTGCTACACCGGGTCATGTCTCCCTCACATTTGATGGGTGGACTTCAAAAATCATGACATCATACCTGGCAATCACAGCACACTGCATCTTGCAAGAATAGAAACTCTGCTCTAAACTGATGGCATTCTCTGAGGTGGAAGGAAGTCATAGCGGTGTAGAGACTCGTGCCTCACATTGTGTGATATGGCAGTTTTCACTAGGGAGTACATGGCACGAACTTGTAGCATCACTCTGCATGCTATCTGCAGCTATCCCTATATGAGGCGCAGCTTTCCCGCACAACATGCGCGCACACTCCCGCGCTTCATGATGTATATGCGCGCGCGCTTTCCCGCGCTTGAGCGCCCTATAGCGCCAGCCATCTGGAAGCATCCATCCACTGTCCACCAAGTTCTCTAGTGCGTGTATTTCCATTTGCCCTTATTTGCATATCATACCACCTTTATTCTTATCATGGACCCTTACTTACATATATCTTTACATACCTCACTCGGTAGTGCTTCGGCTCCGCATGACAGCGCTTAGGCGCCGTATATAAGCGCCAGCAGTACATAATATTACTCACCGAACTCACTTTCCACTTTACCTCCCACTTACCCACTTACTACCTAGCAGAATATAGTTGCAATCTATTCCTTGGCACCTCACACTCACATCTCTGGTCTTGCATCATATCACCACTTAAGCAAACTCAATCTTACTCTCTCATTTCCGCTCACGCGTGTGCGTGCACCTTCGCTTTCCCGCGCCTTGTACGCGCCTTCACTTCCTGCGCCTTGCGCGCACCTGCGCTTTTCCACACTTCGCATCAGCCAACCAGCAGCGCCTACTTCTAGATCCTTGCTGCACTCGCTTCCCCTTTAGGGTCGAACGCACTTGTTGTCTCAAGTATAGCAGACTAGGCAACGCGCGACCTCACAACATTTATAGATACAGTCAGGAGCTTCATTTGTTCCTCTCAGTATTGTTGTTTCTACAGCAGTGAAAATTTGGGAGAAGAACTGTATAGTGTGATGAAAAATTTTAACATTCGCAACAAGGTAATCTATAGTTTATGCTTGATGTCTGCACCATGGCTGACTCTCTCTTCAGATACACAATATCACCTCCGACAATGTAACCGTCAATGACAAAAGTATGCGGATAGTCAGTAGCAAACTCGAGGCTGATAAGATCAATTTCGTCGCAGCGGAGCAACACTCTCAGTCAGCTTTGAATTGTTGTTTTCATGTACAAATTTTGCTAATATGCCTTCTACAGTTGTTTTTCGCATGCCATTGCCCTTGCTGAACGCAGGTTCCTGGCCAAACTTTCGCCTGCACTCAAGAAGACTGTCAAAGGACAGCCCGCAGATTTGTCATCTCACATAGTATCTGCTGAGTTTGATGACGAGGATACAGGGGAGGAAGTCGAAGAACTTGCACGAGAAATGGAGACTGTTATTGCTGAGCTCCCTCAGGCTTCATATTCCCAGCAAGCTAAGCTTGTCACTAGGCTTCTTCTGAAAGTTTGCGGATTCATTGCAAAGGTCCGTCTATCATGCTTGTCTTCTACAATTGGCACTGACATATGTAAGCAGGTCCGCCGGTCACCGCAAGCCAAGAAATACTTCAAGAAATGTTGTATAGATGCCATAGGTAATGACACCCTTGAGCTTTTGCCTTATCGCAAGACACGTTGGGGCTCTTGGCATGGTGTTATCACTTGCTTACTGGTACTTAAGAAGGTAAGAAGGCATGTCTGTTTTCAGTATCCTAGTACTGAGTTGTGTTATTCGTTAGGCTGTCAAAACCTTCCTGAACATGGCTGATGATTCCGAAGATGTTCCAAAAGTCAACAAAGGTCAGCCAAAGTATGAAAAGTATAAGCTTTCCAAGGAGGAATGGAAGCTACTTACTCTCATTCACGAGGTATTGGCAGAAGCTGCAAAGGTTCAAGAAATGTTCTCGGCCGAGTATTATCCCACAATTTGGCAGATCCTCCCATCATATGAATACCTCCTTGCCCAATGGCATGAGTTTTCAGCTGACCCCAGAATGATTACTCTATGGCCAGCTATTGAGGCAGGGATTGAGAGCCTCAAAAAATACTATAACAAAACTGACAATTCTCCTGCGCACGTGGTTTTGATGTGTAAGTACCTAATGACAGATCATCAAACTGTTATAGTACTGACAATCACAAAGATTTAAATCCTTGCCTCAAGGATGAATTCTTCGTGGTTGCATGGACAGTGGACGGGCAAGAGCAAGCACTTGCTACCATGGAGAAAGTGGTCAGTTCAGCCCTTCCTTCACATGGATCATTGATATTGACTTGACAAGAATATAGTTCAACAAATACCAAAAGTCCTACTATGAATCTACTTCTAATTCGACCTCATTCACACCCACACCCATTTCACACACATCATCCAACAGTCTGATTGCAAGAGCCACAGAACACCATCATGTACAAGAGAAAGAGACTATTCAAGATCAGCGGGCAGAGCTCAAAACTTATCTGTCCAAAAATTTACTTTGCATTGATGAGAGTCTATCACCTGAGCATCAAGCTGAGCTCATCCTCGCATGGTGGCAGGTACTACTGTTGATTTGTGACTCCTTTCTTGTGCTCACAGTAAATTTCTCAGGTTAATGCTGTTTGCTATCCAGTGCTGAGTCCTATTGCACTCGACTTTTTGCCTATCCAAGGGTCTTCTGTCCCTTGTGAACGTGCCTTTTTGGATGCTGGGCTCACAGACATGAAGTGGTGTGCTCCCCTCCTCCCAAAAAACTTCGGTGACATCCAAACTGTCAAGGGCACTTACAAGAAGGAGTGGAGGCACCAAAAAGCGGAGTTGGCTGCTCAGTGGACAGCACAGAAGAAGTGCTTGATGGACGATGCAGCGCAGGAGGTGCAGAAACACAATTCAGAATAGCAATCTCCAAGTAGTAATGAAAATTTTATTGTGGCATTGATTTTTGGTTCAGAACCGGTCCGAACCTGAACAGAATCACATAGAACCAGTCCGTCATCGAACCAATAGTCCAGGTTAGGGTCCAGCAGAAATGCATATTTAGTTAGTGGTTCAAGTTCAGGTTCAGATGAGATGTGTGTGAACCGGACTTGAACCGGTGAAGGTGAGGAATCTTGACTGTGGGTGAAAACACTAAAAGAAGGGGGCTCTACAGCAAGACCTGGATACGAGAATACAACTCGACCCAAAGGACAGCTACTGAGAGAAGTTCCTCGCGAATAAGGTGGAGGAAAACTCTGTCAACTAGATGGGCGCTGGTAGGTGCGAGAAGATAACGCGCACAAAGGCGCATGTGAGGCACACGTGAGCGATGCGAGGGCGCGAGAGATGCGAGGGGCGCGCGCGTATGCAGAAGCGCACTTATGAGTGATAAGGGATGTGGTTTCAAGTATAGTAGAGGCACGAGCTGTAGCAGATGGAGAAGTATAATCTGATTTCAAGTACTAAGGTGCACTATACAACTTGCAGTATACTGGGATAAATGGGGGGAAAAGTAGTAACTGAAGTAAAAAGAACTTCCCTCTATTTAAGAAGGGAGATAGCGCTATGCGGCACTTCCGAGCGCGGTACCGAACCGAGTAACCATATCAACTCTAAATATAATCTAAAGTCTAAGATAGACTTTCTGTATGTAAGCGCGGGGATCGAACTGAGTGCACGTCAATTCAGTGAAAGAGATAAGAATAATGCACCAGTAAATCAGTGAGGACTTAGGACGGACGGATGGACAGGTAGGCGCAAGAAGACCTAAGGGGAGGCGCACTGTAGAGACTCATGCCTCTCATTGCATGATATGGCAGTATTCACTAGGGAGTACATAGCACGAACTTGTAGCATCACTCTGTGTGCTATCCACAGCTATTCCCTTACGAGGCGCAGCTTTCCCATGCAAGGCGCAGCAAGCGCGCACAACTTCCCGCGCTTTACGATGTATATACGCGCGCGCTTTCCTGCGCTTGAGCGTCTCTAGTGCGTATGTTTCCATTTCTCTTATCTGTGTATCATTGTAGAAACAACTATACAGAGAGGAACAAACAAAGATGGCTCCAAACTGATATATTTGTGTTGTGGTCTTTGCACTGCCTAGTCTGCTATACTTGCCTGACAAGTGCGTTCGACCCAGGGGTCTGCGGTCTGGGAATAGTCTTGGGGGTAAGTGAGTGATGTGAGATCAATAGTCCGAGCGCGGGAAATAATGTCCGAAGGTATAATTACGATGTCCGATGCAAAAGCGTCGGGTCCGATGTTTTCGGGGTTTCGGGTTATCGGGTTCGGGTTCGGGGTGTCGGAAACTAATAGTAACACTATAGCGAGCGTCGGAAGAGCGAGCGGTGTGCGCAATAATAACAATGACTGATACGGATAATGAAAGAGCGATGATATTCGCAATATCAACTAAGAACTACAAAATATCGGGTTTGACCACTAAGCGTCGGGGAACTGCTCCCCTCTACTTGGATAATGAATAATGCTCGAGGTCAGTCCAATATATATGTAAGTACGTAGAAATGCGGAACCCGTAGGCGAAAGTAGCGGCGGAGTATTTCGGATCCAAAGTACATGTAAATAAACATGAGGCGCTGCGGACTATGGGAAAACATGTAATAGCGCTGGCTACAACGTGAGTAATGTGCGAATTAATGAACTACACACCTAGTGGGGCTAGCAAGACGGAACGGGACACGGATAGGACAAGTGCACGGGAAAACATCGGGTCCGATGCAGCCTAAACGTCGGGTTGGCGGGTTAGCGTCGGATAACATCGGGAAGTGATTAGCATGTGACGGGTATTTGACGTGTACTGTAAAATAGCTCGATACGAGCCCAGCGCCAGCTCGTGTCCTACATCATTCCACCTTTATTTTGGACCCTTACTTACATATAGCTTTACATACCTTACTTGGTAGCGCTTCGGCTCCGCGTGACAGCGCTTAGGCACCATATATAAGCGCCAGCATTACATACTATTAGGAACTTTCGAACTTTGGACTTTACCTCCCACTTACCCACTTACTACCTAGCAGAGTATAGTTGCAATCTATTCCTTGGCACCTCGCACTCACATCTCTTGTCTTGCATCATATCACCACTTAAGCAAACTCACTCTTACTCTCACTTATTTCTGCTCACGCGCGCGCGTACCTTCGCTTTCCCGCGCCTCGTGCGCACCTGCGCGCTTTCCCGCGCTTCGCATCAGCCGACCGGTAGCGCCTTCGGCGCGCACTACTAGATCCTTGCTGCACTCGCTTCCCCTTTAGGGTCGAACGCACTTGTCGTCTCAAGTATAGCAGACTAGGCAACGCGCGACCTTACAACATTTACAGATACAGTCTGGAGCATCATTAGTTCCTCTCGGTATTGTTGTTTCTACAGCGCAAGTGCATATAAGGTGCGCGAATGAGGCGCGTACGTAGGGCGCACACATGGGAGCGCGTATGACTGATCCTTCGGATAAGAGCTGGAATATGTAAGGAATATGTGGTTCATAGGGCCGTATGTCCGGCATTGAGAGGCGCAAGTCTCTACACCGGACCACAGCAACTTTACTCATACTTATGGGGATGGGCAACGCCCATAAACAAAGTGTGACATTATGTAAGCACAATGCTACCAAACATGATGGCTGTTAAGAACGTGCTCAAGGGTCGGATCCGAAGGGCTTGGCTTCAGCTCGTGCGCTGCACCCCTTACCCGAGTACATGCCCCTAACTTCCGAAGGCTGTTGAACAATGTCCGAAGGTTACCGGACGATGTCCGGAGGGCGTCGGGCGATGTCCGGAGTCCGATGTCCGATACGCGGGAATTCCGGCGGACGTTCGGGAACAAGAGATAAGACTAATCCGGACGAAGTCCGAACTAGAAAGGAAACAGCGGAGGACTACCAAAGGTAGAGGCGGAGGTGATAAGTCTATAGGAGTCAATCCTAAGACGAGCGGAGGTCGACGAGAGAGAAACTCAAGTCGGGCGGAGGAGAGAATGAGCAGAGTCTAAGATGATATTCGAACTGAGGATGTACATAGATTCTACAGGGTTTATATACTACTGAGGACTTATCAGAGAACAGAGATGCGCAGTCCGAAGCTGTACAAAGCTGTGGACGGAGCGTATAGAAAAGTCAAATGCTAGTCTATCGGAAAATAGTAAATGAACCCGGAGATTAGAACAGATAAAAATAAAGGCGGAAATGAAATGAGGTACGGAAAATGATATGGTCTAACTGGAGTAGGAACATACAAAGGGATAAGGCACGGAAGTTAGACGCGGGTCGGATCCGGACATAGATAGACGTCGGCCGGATCCGGACATCCGGAAATGATGTGTGTGATAGGTCCAGGTCCAGAACGCGGGATATGACAGTATCCCCCCCTTAGGGCCGAGCCCACGAGGCTTCTGATTTGGAAGTCCGGTCCGGAGTTTTATGAATGCAAGATGATGGGCGGAGCTCGTAAAAATAGCACTGAAGCATATAAGTAGGCCGGAACGCCCAGGAGACGTTTAAAACTTTCCCCCTAACTCCTATTACTGCTTTTAACATGTCTAACTCCACTTCCGGCAACAAGAAGTCCGCCCGACAACTCCTTGAAGAGAGACAGGCGGAAATGGTCGCTGAAATCGCGCGGCTCGAGGCGGACGCTCGGAGAGAGGCGGAGGAAGAAGAGCGCATGCGCAAGGAGGCGGAAGAGGAACGGAAACACGCGGAGGAACAGAAACGGAAGGACATTGAGGAAACTTGGAGAGTGTTGGCTGAACGCGAGCGGGAGCGTCTGATGAAGGCTAGAGCGGATAATGCGTCGGAGGTGAGTCGGATGAGGTTTTTTATGTTTTCCGGAGATTCATAGAGTCTTTTAGTCCTCCGGTCCGACGGATCCGGAGGTCGCATGCGAGATGTGCGTCACCAGGCGCAAGGCTTGCACCTGGGCAGTAGCGTCCAAGACGCCTAGAGTGAGTGTGTGTTTTTTCCGGATCCGGATGATTGCTAATGATTCCGGAAGATCCGGACATGTGACCAATGCCGCGCGTCTAAGGAAAAATGTGTCGGCGGAAATCCGCCTGTCAAGGCGCCGGCCGGCAAAGGCAAAGGCAAGAAACGCGCGCGTCCGGAGGGATCTCCGAGCCCCAAGGGCAAAGGCAAGCGGCGCCAGAGGAGTCCGGAGGACCTTGACGACGACGTGGAGATTATCTCCAGTCCCCGGATGGTTATTGGGGAGGGGCAAGACTGGACGGAGTACGACGACCAGGCCTGGGTCGTGGCCGCCAACAATATAGTGGCGGAACTGGCCCGGACGAATGGGCTGATGGAGAGGGGTATTGCAGCGGCGGAGGGAAGTAGAGCTGCAATGGACCGGGTGAGTGAGACCATGCTCCGGTTCATGGAGGAGCAGAGGGAGTTTCAGACTCTCTTCATGGAGAGTCTGAGGGGCGGTTTCCGGATGCATGTAGAAGATGCTCCGGAGGAGGAAAATGGAGAGGAGGCGGAAAAAGAGGCCGGCGGATCCGGCGGAGACATGGAGATGGACTCTTAGGTCGTCGGATCCGAAGTCCAGATGTCGGACGCCTAAATAATGTACATATATGCATGTTTTTCCTTACTCTTTGTTAGAAGTTGGTCCCGGCTTATCCGGATATGCCGAGTGGAAATCCGATAGAAGTTCCGGCGCATTTCTGAGTTCGGTTGCGAGTATCCAGGAAGTTTCTTCGTCTGTCCCTTCATATCCGGCCCAACGTACTAAGTATAGTAGTTGGCAGTGACGTCTCCGGCGGTCGATCTTGGAGTCCAGGATTTCGGAGAT